TCGTATCCGCTGGACGCGCGCGCCTGTAGTTCGACCAGTGGTCACAGATGTACTGCACCGTCTCGCTGGCAGAGGGAAAGAGAGAGAGAGACGTGAAAGTTAAGAGACGATGGATAGAAAGGAAAAATCAGCGGGGAAATACGACGAAGACGATGCTACATTACTTAATCTAATTAGCAAATACGTAAAACTTTAAAGTAATCACTTTTGTTGGAGAGTTTATTTTATTTAAATGTTTCCGCGAGTGCTTTAGCCGAGTTTTGAAACTTGGACAACTAAACGATTTCTTGTAGTTTCCTGTATTTTTGTGTGTATTTTTATGAAACAGGAGTACAAGAAAGTAATCAAATAAAAATAAAATCTCAAAATCATAAATAAACTTTCAAAAAATAAAATAAATCACCAATCAACGCTTAAAACCGATAACGAAATCACGCGTAAAAAAATCCTTCAAAAAACCGTTAAACCGAAACGACAACACTAGATGGCGCTACCCTACCGGGCGTCTGCGTTCGTTACCACAGCATCCAGCCAATCCTCTTGTTCAGCTGCCTGTAGCGCGTCTGCTGGAAGCTCTCCAGTCCGCGGCTGAGGATCGCGACGACGCACGTGCCGAGAGCGAACAATCCCAGCATCGCCGCCTCCGACATCTCTGCCGGGTCGTACGCGTCGTCGCCGCCGCCGCCGGCGCCCCCTGGCGTGACGCGCAGCGCGAAGCGGAACACGTCGTTCAGCTGCAGCTGGCTGAGCAGCAGGATCAGGTCGCTCTCGGCGAGGAGAAGCCACGGCCTGCTCGCATCCTCGTTCTCCTTCGTCGCCGCGGCAACCGCGCGTTAATCGCCGTTATTCGTTACTTACTTCTTACTGTCATATCTTACTGTTAATGTACTACTTATTATTAACGTTATTCGCTACTTACTTCTTATTTATGCTAATTATCATATATATTTATATTATTTCATCATATGTTCATTCGTGATTATTCGTTATATCATTATAATTTATTCAGGCTCTTGCATATCTAACGCTCATGTGAAGTGCTGTCACTAGATAATTTCCACGTCGAAATTATAACGTTTGATTAGTTTTATTATTAAATAACTACGAATGCGATCGCTGCTGCGAGATCTACGTGTGCTAACGATGAACGCAGATGGCGCTATGTGTCTTGTACAGCGGACAGTGGCGCCACCTACCTCCTCTCCCTCACTGTTCAGCACGACCCACGGCTTGGAGGCGTTAGTTCTGTTGTCGTTCTGTGAGTTCATGTGTTGAAGGAACTCCTCTCTCCCCCTGTATACAGTATACAGAAAGCAGAGCTTAGTATATAATAATAGCAACAGTAGTATAAATAAAAACAATATAATGATAACAACAATAATAATAATAATTATTATTATTATTATAATACTGTATACGCTGTATATTTCACGGTGGTTTAATTTTCGCAAATTTCGAGAACGCGTCCCCGACCGCGAAAATAACAACACGCGAATAACTCATACCGAATAATAGCGAATAATTCATAATTCACCGACCGCGAAATTAACCACTCGCGAAATTGTCCGTCAAGTCAGAATTTGCGAAAATATCTGTACGCGAAAAATATGGCGTATACAGTAATAAGCACGGCTTTTTCGGAGGGCCAGTACAGAAAACCCAGTGATTGGTTAATTCGTTTTCGGTTAAATGATCAGAATTTCAGGCAAACTCAATTAACTTTGAGACAAGAATCTCTTTACATGTCTTAGAATTTGGTATAACACGTTAGGCAACAAATGACTCTATAATGAATAATTCTAGTTTATTTGAATAAAATATCTCTTTAGCAAGCCGCTTTCACACCGCCCCTTTTTCCATCAAATCACATGAACCCGAATTTTCAATATTCATCACTTTCAGTTTCAAACGCGAAAACTTTCCCATCGACCGCTAAAATCCATTTCACGACGATCAATCAATTTAAACGCGTTCTCTTTTATCGAATCAAATTCATTCGATTAAATCGATTCCGCATCGCATCCTCTCACCGTATCGGTGACGTCATCGTCGCCAGCACGGTCAGCGCGTGGTCGACCGCCACCTGACCTTGACTGCCGGCTCCGGTAGATGGCAGCACTTGTATGAAGGCGGCCGTCCAGTCAGCGAGGCCGGGCGGACAGCGAAGCAGGTGGTTGAGAATGAAGAGATGGTCCTCATAGGTAGCTATCCGCAGCAGCGCACTCACCTGTAGCAATAATAGTAGTAGTTAGACATCTATCCCCCACCTGTAGCAATAATAGTAGTAGTTAGACATCTATCCCCCACCTGTAGCAATAATAGTAGTAGTTAGACATCTATCCCCCACCTGTTTAGCATCAATAGTAGTATTAGACATCTATCGCCCCACCTGTAGCAATAATAGTAGAGTTAGACATCTATCCCCCACGCTGTCAGCAAATATAGTAAGTAGTTTAGAAATCTATCGCCCCACCTGTAGCAAATAAGTAGTAAGGTTAGAGCATCTATCGCCCCAACCTTAGCAATAATAGTAGTAGTTAGGCATCTATGCCCCCACCTGAGCAATAATATAAGTAGTTAAGACAATCTATCCCCCACCTGTTAGCAATATAGTAGTAGTTGGACATCTATCCCCCACTGTGCAATATAGTAGTAGTTAGACGATCTATCCCCCAACGCTGTAGCAATAATCAGTAGTAGTTAGCACTCTATCCCCACCATGTAGCAAAATAATAGTAGTAGTAGGCATCTATCCCCCACCTGTTAGGCAATAATAGTAGTAGTTAGACATTATACCCCACCTGTAACAATAATAGTAGTAGTTAGACATCTAGTCCCCCCCTGTAGACAATAATAGTAGTAGTTAGACATCTATCCCCCACCTGTAGCAATAATAGTAGTAGTTAGGCATCTATCCCCACCTGTAGCAATAATAGTTGTTAGTTAGACCATCTATACCCCAATCCTGTAACAAAATAGTAGTAGTTAGACACTCGTATACCCCACCTGTAGCAATATAGCTAGTAGTTTTACAGACATCTATCCCCCACTGTAGAGCCAATAATAGAGTAGTTTAGACATCTATCCCCACCTGGTAGCAATAATAGTAGCTAGTTAACATCTATCCCCCACCTGCTAGCAATAATAGTAGTAGTTAGACATCTATCCCCCACCTGTAGCAATAATAGTAGTAGTTAAGCTATTTTTCCCATGCCTATAAAAGTAATAGTAGTTGTTAGGTAACTCTATCCCAGCATATAGAAATAATAGTAGTAGTAGTTAGAAGTAGCATATATAAATAGTAGAAGTAGTAGAAGAAGTAGTAGTTAAGCTACTCTCCCCCAACCTATAGAAAAATTAATGTTAATCATTAGTCATTAGACATTGGACACATGCTCCACGCCTCCTCCTCATCCTCCTCTTCCCCCTCCTCCTCCTCCCCACCTCCTCCTTCTCCTCCCCATCCTCTCCCCTACCTACCATGCACGTCAGCCACTCCTGTACAGGCTTCATGAAGCCATCAGCATCAGCAGCAGCTTCCCCTCCCCACCCCTCCCTCTCCCTCTGCTCCTCCAACCCTCCTCCTTCTCCTCCTCTCCCCTACCTACCATGCACGTCAGCCACTCCTGTACAGGCTTCATGAAGCCATCATCATCATCAGCAACAGCCTCCCCTTCCCTTCCCCTCCCCCTCTCCCCCCTGTTTCAATTTCATCCTGGGGAGAACCCTGGCATGGAATTACATGTTCGTTGTTTTATGTATCATTTATATTGTTTAACATGAATACAAATTAGTTTTTGAAGCAAAGTATTTTTTAACAGAAAGATAATATTTTAATGTGTATGATGCAGTGCTCGAAATAAGCGTTGTCCGGTTGTCCGAGACAACCGGAATTTGCGCCGGACAACCTAACCAATCTGAGACATTGTCCGGTGGACAACCAAGAAACCCTATCCTTAATCCTAACCCTAACCCTAACCCTACCTTGCTCCTACACCTCTCCTCCCGGTCCCCCGCCTCTTCTCGCCCTCTTCTGTCCCCTTACGCTACCCAGGCGATGTCAGCCACTCCTGTACAGGGCTTCATGAGCATCATCATATCATCAGCAACAGAACAGCTAAACCTCCCCTCCCCTCCCCCGCCTCCCTCTGCTCCGCCACCTCCTGCCCCTCCTCACTCCTCATCCTCCTCTCTCTCTTCTTACCTACCATGCACGAGCCACTCCGGTACAGGCTTCATGAGCCATCATCATCAATAGCACAGCTTCCCCTCCTGCCCCCCCCCTCCCTCTGTCCTCACCGCTCCTCCACTCCTCCTCTCCTATCGCGTCCCTACCTACCATGCACCATGTCAGCCCACTCGCTGTACAGGCTTCATGAAGCGCATCAATAATCATCTCAGCAACAGCTTCCCCTCTCCTCCCCTTCCCCCCTCCCTCTGCCTCCACCCTCTCCACTCCTCATCCCTCCTCCTCCCTCCTCCTCCTCTTACCCTACCTACCGCATGCATGTCAGACACTCCTTTACAGGCTCATGAAGCCATCATCATCATCAGGGCAACCAGCTCCCCCTCCCCACCCCTCCCCCTCCCTTGCCTCCTCAACCCTCCTCCCCTTACCTCCGTCTTCCTCTCATCTCCTACCTAGCCATGCACCGTCAGGCAGCCTGTACAAGGCTTTCCATGAACCATCAATCATCATCAGACAACAGCTTCCCCTTCCTCCTTCCCCTCCTCTGATTCTCTCCAACCCCTCCTCCCCTCTCCTCCTCTCCTCCTCCTCCTCCTCTTCCCCTACCATACCATGCACGTCAGCACTCCGTGTACAGCTTCATGAAGCCAATCGAGCAGCAGCAGCACGGATGAGCGTCGCCGCAGACGAGCAAACAGGAGGCTGAGGCACGGAGCGCAGACGCTCGACGGAGGCGGGGGCGTGCCTGCGGGGAGGTGTGGGCACCGGGCGTGGCGGCCACGCTGAAACACGGCGCAGACGAACGGACGTATGGCAGTGAGCTGTCCTCGGGGCGGTCAAATGGCGAGGTCAGTCAGGCGGGTCAAATGGGGAGGTCAGTCGGCTTGCTCAGTCAGGCGGTCAAATGGGAGTCAGTCAGGAGGTCAGTCGGTCGCGTCAGCGGAGGTTAGGCGGGCGGTTAGTCAGGCAGTCAAATGGGATGTCAGTCGGTCGCGGTCTAAGGGGAGGTCCAGTCCGGAGGCTCAGGCAGTTGGTCAGTCGGGGAGGTTAGTCGGCGGTTAGTCAGGCAGTCAAATGGGATGTCAGTCGGGCGGCAGCAGGCGGTCACGCGTGGGTGGTACACAGGCTCAAGACAAACATACACGAAAGATAGCAATATGAAGCGAGGAAACCACACGACAACGGCATTACAAACGCCGCTAGCATACCGTACGAAATAACGCACGCCACGCACACACGACGCGCTACGCACGAACGGCATGCTCACACGCAGCGCCGCGCACACGCGACACTTCACACGCACACGCGACGCACGCGCACACGGACACTCACGCCACGCCCAAGTAGCACGCAGAAGAACACGTGGTAAAACAACGTTTAAGCAATTGCGATTCAGACGAGGGTCAATTGTTCAAGTCCTTCCCAGGCCTACCAATTCTCTAACCCCGTACGTAGAACCACGTGTATGCCGTACTCGTTCTATAGAATATGAAGTATTTCTTCTAAACCCGTATTCTGGAACCAAGTGTATGCGTACTCGTTCATTACACGGAGGAGTTATTTTTCTAACCCCTAACATAAACCACGTGTAATGCCGTACCTTGATAAGTTCATTTATCTAAACCCCGTATGTAGAACACGATGTATGGCGATACCTTGTTACGGGTGCGTTGAGGGCGGTATGTCGCTGAGATCAGGTGAGCGGGTGAAGAGGCGGTGGATGTAGGCTTCCACGCGTATCCTGCTCAGCTGCATAGAGTAGATGAGCAGCGAGCGTGTGCCGTGCACCTAGAGCAGAGAGAGAGAGAGGTGGTCAGGGAGAGAGAGCGAGAGCGAGGCGAGCAGGAGAGGAGAGAGAGAGAGTGAGAAGAGGAGAGTGAGAGAGAGACGAGAGGACGAGAGGGGGAGAGAGAGGAGAGAGGCGAGGAAGAGAGAGACGAGAGGATGAGAGGAGAGGAGAGAGAAGTGTGAGAGTCAGAGAGAAGAAAGAGGACAGAGAGAGAAGAGGAGAGAGGACGGGAGAGAGAGGAGAGGGAGAGACAGGAAGAAGAGTGAGAGGGCGGGAGAAGGAGAGAGGGGAGAGGGGGGGGGGAAGAGATCGGGAGGAGGGGGGGAGAGAGGAGAGAAGGAGGGGAGAAGGAGAGGCAGAGCGAGAGGAGATGAGAGGATGAGAGGAGAAGGAGAAGGGAGGGGAGACAGAGAGTAGAGGGGAGAGAGGAGGAGGATAGAGAGAGAGAGAGAGCAGCGAGAAGAGAGAGGAAGGGAGGGCGAAGGAGGAGATAATGGGGGGCCGGCAAGAAGAAGAGACAGAGAAGGCAAATAGGAAGGAATAGGAACATATAAACTTCTCATAAAAAAAATAAAATGATTATTATTTAATTAATTAACAATGTTAATATATATTATATATATATAATTAATGCTAGTATACCTGAGCTTAATGGCCTCAGGTTATCGCCGAGTCACGATGACCAGCTTCGTTGAGCCGCCACCTGGTGGTAGAGTGTGCGGACCAGTAACCTTGGTGCCATCCTGGACGGTTCCCTGCAGACGAACAAGAATGGCAAGCATAGTAACATGGAGGCACAGATATAGCACAGCAGCAAGATATATAACAGACTGTGCAAGATAGTATAACAGCTGGCAAGTATATAAACAACGGCAAGATATAAAACATCGGCAATATATATATAAACATCTGGGCAAATCTTACAGGGAGCAAGGCTAACAGCGGCACAGGCAGACGACACGCCAGCTGTCAGCGTGGCCAGCCGGCTAGCTTTGCAGCTTTACAGTCTGTCCAGCGTTTCTCCCTGTGTCGTAACCACCGGCGTGAGAGCCGCGTTCGTGTGCCATGGACTCAACCTCACACGCCCTTCACGCTACGTAACGCGATATATACGGAAGAGCGCGCGCATTTACTACTGCTCCGGGTGCTGAACGTGCTATTTACATGAGAACAGGGCACACAGATTCACGCGCGCTCTCTCGCTCTCTCTCTCTCTCTCTCTTTCTCTCTCTCTTCTCTCTCTCTCTATCTCTCTTCTTTCGCTCTCTCTCTCTCTCCTCTCTATCTCCTCTCTCTTTTCAGCTGCTCTCTATCTCGCTCCGTCTCGCTCTGCTCTCTCTCTCCTCTTTCGCGCGCGCTCTCTCTCTCTCTCTTTTCGCTCTTCTCGCTCTCTCTCTCTCGCTCTCTCTCTCTCTCTCTCTCTCTCTCTCTCGTTCCTCTCTCGCTCTCTCCCTCTTTCTCTCTCTCTCTCTCTCTCTTCTCTCTCTCTCTCTCTCTCTCTCTCGCTCTCTCGCGTCTCCTCTCTCTCTCTCTCTCGCTCTGTCTCTCTCTCATCTCTTTTCTCTCTCTCTCTCTCTCTCTATCTGCTCTCTCTCTCTCTCTCCTCTCTCTCTCGTCTCTCTCTCTTTGTTCTCTCTCTCTCGCTCTCTCCAGCCGCTTTCTCTCTCTCTCTCTCGTCTCTCTCATCTTCTCTCTCGCTCTCTCCATCCCTCTTTCTCTCTCTCTCTCTCTCTCTTCCTCTCTCGCTCTCTCTCTCCTCTCTCTCTCTCGCTCTCTCGCTCTCTCTCTCTCTCGCTCTCTCTCTCTCTCTCTCTCTCTCTCTCCATCCCTCTCTCGTCTCTCTCTCTCTCTCTTCATTCCTTTCATCGACGGTTCCCGCACTGTCAACAACCAAGACGTCGCCAAGACGCGTTGTCTGTGTTGTGGTGCGTACGTGACGTGTCGGTGTGTTGTGACGTGACGTGGTGTCTCGTGTGTGCTGTGTGCTGTGCGTGCGTGGTGCGTGCGTGCGCTGGTCGGGCGTGCGTTATCTCGTGAAGCACTTGGGTAGCTTGAGTCAGGAAAGGCAGGAAGGGTGATTAGAGAAGACTAAGCTGCTGTGAAACTCGAACGACGTTTTGCTCGCTAAACGTAAGTTATTAACTCGAGAAAAGATCGTGTGGGCGACGTGGAATTGAGCGGACTGAGCGAGAAAGACGGGAGGAGGAGGAGAGCAGAGAGAGACCCTGAGAGAGAGAGAAGAGAGAGAGAGAAGAAAAGAGAGACGAGAAGAGAGAGAGTGTGACCTAGGCCGCCGGGCAGGCACAGGCGCGCACCGGGTTGTGTGTTAGTGAGAGAGAGAGAGAGAGACAAGAAAGAGCAAGAGAGAAGAGAGAGAAAGAAGCGAGAGGCCAGAGAGAGCGCGCGCGGAGTAGAGAGATTATATATACGATAAGATAGATAGGAGGGAAGTAGTGAGAAAGGAAGAGAGACGAG